TATGATACTGCACTAGGTGTCGGATTGGGTTGTCTTTGATATGCCAATCAGTGAGATCCTTAGAGGGGGTCAAAACCTGGGTATGTTGGGACTGTCCGAGAATTCATCTGAGTGGGTGATCATAGTGATAGGATCAACCCCTTTGTCGGACAAAGTGAATGATCGGGGATGCACTCTCTCTGATGGAAACCTAAACTATCGGCACCTTGCAGCTGAGGGAGAGGTACTCTCTTGTCGGGCAGTGTTTGATCATTATGGGCTGAGAGGTTAAGTGTAAGACCATTGATGATTATACCTGATGGGCTAATCTAGCATCTGCCCATAGTCCTTGGGCCTTCATAAGATGGTTGGACCCAAGGACCATTAGTGTAAATGTTGGGCCCATTAAGAGCCTATAGTGATGGACTCAGGGGTTTATTGTATTCAACAGTGAATTCGGCCAGGCCTTGTGACAGAGGCTAGACTAAACCCATGTGGCTAATGTGTAGATCAACGATAGGGTCCCACACCATACAAAGAGAGCCAAATAGCCAGCATTAAAGAGGAAGTGAGCCTGAAAGCTTAATGGGCTTAAAAGCCCATTTCGAACTGGGTTAATTAGATTAATTAAATAGGGGCCGATCTGGGATTTTGATCAGCAGATAAGATAAATGATTATCCTTATGCACTTAAAGAGTCTAGATCTAAATAATGATTTGGATAAAATGAACTCCTAATTTGATTAAGAATGTCGATCTTTATCTACAGATAAGATAATGGATTATCTTTATCACTTAATGAGTCCAGATCCAAATAAAATATTTGGATCATGAAACTCCTAATGAGATTAGGAAATTATTTCTTTAAGGCTATAAATAAGAGGCGAACCTTCAAAACACACTCACTGAATATAGAGAGAAGACAACACAGTTAGACTGATCTTGCTTTCTACTCTTTTTCTTCCTGTTCTTTCCGCCCCACCCTGTTCAATCTCCAGTTCTTGGATTGGATCAAGATTCGATCTTGATATTGTTTCTTACCAGAAGAAACAAATTAGAAGTTGTGCTCACTGTCCCATTCGATTATTGTTGAAGAATATCTAGTTCTTGGTGAAGAACTACCTGTTGATCCTGCCTCATCCTAAGCTGTGTCATTTTCAGTGGAGGGAGGATTTGATACACTCTTTTGGGCATGAACACCTACGTTGGGAGGAGCATTATTGTGTGGATTTCGTATCAGGTATATCATTCCCTTAATTTGGTTTCAGATTTGGTCTGGTTTGGTTAAAAGAACGAACCTTGAAAATGCAGTTTTTTAAATTGGGAATAAGATTCCTGAATGGGAGTAAAGAAATTTTTGAAATTTCGCCCAACCTTCCTGTAGGGTTCGGCCACCCATATGATGGATTTCCCATCCCTTCAGTTACCTATAGGGGAATGATGGCTATTAATGTTATCCAAAAGAAAGTTGAGCAAAATAACACGGAAATATTTTACATTTCTGAAATGTAAAGTTGCCAATATATATCTTCTTTCCAAAATTTTATCGGAAAATACCATTGGCTAGGTAGATCAATTTGGGCTTGGCTTGGGCCTACCGAACCCCAAATTCAAGTAAATTTCAAGTCCCAAATTACTCTTCTTTTAGTGCTATATTGGATGATGTGTCATACCCTTTATTTTGCAAACACACTTATTTCCTACACTAAAACAATAATATTTCCTCTCTCTTTCTCTCTCTCAATTGCATCCAAGAAAAATGAATAAAAATAAAAGCACAAAATCCTTATGTATTCCTTACTAACAAGTTTGCAATGATAATTAATGTCGGATAAGTTTTTGTATATAAGCCTACATCATTGTAAAATCTATTCAGTTTTCCATACATAGTTAAATTCATAAAAAGTCAACACCACTAGACAGGTTCCATATTTTTATCATTTTATTTCATAAGAACAACCAAGCATACCCATGCCCAAAATATAAAACACAGGATATTGCAAGTAAAACACAACTATCGAACAACGATATTGTTTTGGGGTATTCCCCCCCCCCCCCCCCCCCATATAAAAGAGCCTCTATGATCCCCTCTCAATGGACAACGGAAGAACCATTGTCCATAGTTTTTATCGGTGCACTGACTGTCATTTCTCCCTCTCCACATGAGTACATTGGCATATCATGAATATTCTAATGGTAACATAAAAATGGAATTAACAATAGCGATGTGCACACGCTCTCTGCAATGTAAGATCAAAGTAGACCAATGTATAATACATGTACCAAATAAAAACAAGTTGAACACAATAGAGTTGCTACTAGAAGCATGTTCACCGTCGTATCCACCATCATCCCCATTTATAAATGCTGATATGGCGCTGAGGTGGAACCGTAAACGTAAACGGAACCAAACATTGTTTGTCCCAATATTAGTATTAGTAGGGTGATGGTCGTTTACCTTGACATATCGACAATACCCAATTTATTAATCCCATTTGATATATTACATAAATAACCACCTGTTTACTTCGTTTCTCGAATGGAATAAGGGTATAATGGTAAAATTACAACCAATTCCGTAGGTGGAACTCAAACCCTAATGCCCCGCCCCCTCCACTCTTTTTTCTTCTCCCTACCTTCATTTTCCTCATTCTCGCTGGCTGCAGTCGGCACCCCCAGAGAATGGTTTCAGGTTCGGGGATTTGCGCTCGGAGGGTGGTGGTGGATGCCCGCCACCACATGCTCGGCCGACTGGCCTCCATTATCGCGAAGGAGCTTCTCAATGGCCAGAAGGTCGTCGTCGTCCGGTGCGAAGAGATCTGTCTATCCGGCGGCCTCGTTCGCCAGAAGATGAAATACCTTCGCTTCCTCCGAAAGCGAATGAACACTAAACCCTCTCACGGCCCCATTCACTTCCGCTCCCCTGCTAAGATCCTCTGGAGGACGATTCGAGGGTCGGTACCTATCTTCTCCCTCTCTTTGTATCTCTATCTCATGAATCAAATCCGCTTGAGTTTTTCTTGTTTCCTTCTTGTTCTGCAGAATGATTCCTCACAAGACAAAGCGTGGAGCGGCTGCCCTTGCTCGCTTGAAGGCTTATGAGGGTATTCCTCCTCCTTATGATAAGATGAAGAGGATGGTCATCCCCGATGCTCTCAAGTGAGTATTTTAGCTATTAGACTGAAACCAGACGGGTTTCTATTTTTTTCTGTTCGGATTTCTGATCTCCTGTTCTGGGCCATTGTAAAATTAGGGTTTTGAGGCTTCAACCCGGACACAAGTACTGTTTGTTGGGTCGCCTTTCTTCGGAGGTTGGATGGAACCACTATGATACTATTAAGGTCAGAGTTTAAATTCTTCTGCTTAATAGCTCATGTATTCTTTAACTTGTTTATCTTGACATTATCTATTGTTGTGATGGGATTTTGAGCATTTCGAATATGAAGGAATTCTGTTATTCTTTGTCTTAATAGATTCTTGGAATTGTAATTATGTTGTGCATTATTCTTTGTGCTTGTTACCATACTTACCAAGTTCTTTTTGTGTGCGGTTCTAGATTGATAATGCTGTTATATTTGGATTTGTCCTGTTTTCTCATGCTTTCGTTATAACGAGGCTTTATTGTTTATCTATGTAGTTAAGAGTTTCCTGTATTTTTTTAATATGTTTTTGGCGGGGATCCTATACAAAATTATTTGCTTGATACTTTGGTTCTGGTAATAAACTTGACTATTTTTCAGAACCATTTTTTTGTATTTAATCTTATGGAAATTTTAAAATGCTTAATTCTTTGTAATTGTTTCTGGTTTTGTTCTTGAAAAACAAACTTTATGAATCAAAATGAGGCTTTGTTTTTTACTACATAAATGCTCATTACTACGTGGTATTAGTCTGCTTTTAGTTTTAACAGCATATATACCGTTACTGTAAGGTGTTAGATTGCCCTCTAAACGTTCAGATATGCTTTCAAGGGGCAGTTATGGGCTTTTGTTTCCTTTTGAATTGTGAAATGGTTTGCTGCATTTCGGTTTCACCTTTGTGATCATTGATTTTTTCTAGTGTGCTTCTTAAGGCATGATCAAACATTATGGTCGATGTTAGCCCTTTCTGTTTTTTTTTTCTTTTTTAATCTTTTCCTCTGTTTTGGGTGCTGCTAATGAATGACTGGATCATCTTTAAGCAAAAACATGCACAAACTCTGAAAGCATGGGCATCCAGCAGCGCATTGGTAACATATCCCCATGAATTTAACATACATGTACGGGGGATATTTCTTAAGGTAAAGCTGGATGCCGTGTTTGCAGAGTGTTTTTTTGCTTGCAGGAGATCCGGGCTGAGAGCAGGGTATCAATCTACAAATGCAACTGAATTACTCTTACAAATAGAGCTTGTAATGAAAACTGCACTTTGAAACATTGTCATATATACCTTTTCCTTCTCTTGTAATTAAAATTTTACTCCATGTTAGAAGCTAACTTGCATTTGAGAATCATCCTCTAATTGTTTATGATTCTATTGTCTACAGGTACTTGAGAAGAAGAGAAAGGAGAGGGCCCAAGTGGCATATGAAAGGAGGAAGCAACTGAATAAACTACGGGTTAAAGCTGAGAAGGCCGCGGAGGAGCAGCTTGGTCCCCAGTTGGACATTCTTGCTCCCATTAAATACTGAAGTGTTGGAAATTTTAGTAGCTTTCCTCCTATCTTTGAAAGTTATCCATAGAATTTCTTTCTTGTTGCATTTTTTTGGTCCCCAGTTGCTTAAGTTCAGTTTTGACACTTTTTGGAGAGTTGCGTATAAACTTTTAGTAGCCTAATCATGAACTGCTGAATTTAGCATTTTTCCTCTATAAATTAGACGGTTATTGTATGTTCCATTGTCTTATTTTTGTTATTTTGTAGTGTACTTCTTTGAGGAGCCTCGGGATTACAATGGTTGTCAAAATGGTAGCTATCAGTTTGTTTAGAAAACTGTGTGGACATTGAATGTTTGAATTCAGTTGGGATTTTAGCGAACTGGTTTTCCCCTGGGCGGAATGGTCATAACCACGAGCAGCAAGGATCTGAAATGACTGGGAGATGGAAGGGTGTGTGTGTGTTTTGTTTTCAAGATTGAAACTAAAATCAACATCTTTTTGAAATTGCATACAATGCAAAAGAAAGTTGTACTCTAGGGGAAGGGGACCTGTGCTTGATACTCCAGAACTTCCGGTATCAGGATACATCTCCCAAAGGCCAAAGGATTCTGGATGGTAGATGACTGATGATCTTCCTGTGACCTTAGTTGTAACTTGTAAGCTGCCCATTTTTTGAAGCCTCCAAATTGGTTTTCATCTTGCAACTCCCCATTTGCAGGAATTCTGATTTGTCGAGTGGCCTCACATCGTGTTACCTATGTAGTTTGTCAGTCCTCCAAGTACCATTGCTAGAATTGATGAACTCTGCCTACCTTATTTCTATCTACAACTACAAGTTGATTGTCATTTGATCCAGCAACAGTGCAACACTACCATCCGTTGCCTATTAACCATCTTCCACTAATCTGAGATTCCTTGGCATGAAAGCATGCTCCACCAAATACTAGACTGATTTGAATTTTTCTTAGCTGTCCTGTCCTGTCTGTCCAATAAGATTTACCCCCAGTGGAGCTTATGGGCTCACATTTGGTTTGGAGGCTCGAAGGAAGCCAATTACCTAGACCAAGTGATCTCAATGGTGGAACCCATTTGATAGTGGGCTCCATTTTACCTTCTTAACATGGGTAAACTAAGGTAGCCAACATGTTATTGGCTCCAGCCTCCAGAGAGCTTTTCAGATGCTGTAGACCCGTAGGCCCAGAAAGGTTGCTTGCTTCTAATGTTCATTGTTCATTCCATGCCTCTTAACTCTCAAGTCATACCATACCCATCGAAGTGGGAAATGGGAATGTTTGCATGGGCTTCCTTTAAATCTTAAGTCCTTCTATTTGGTGTACTGCTTTGAATAAGATGGGATCATGAGAACGTCACAAACTAATGAATAGTGATTTTGTGGCGTGAGAGTGAAACCGCTTCTTATGTTCTTCATTCAATGTTGTCCAATCTGCAAAGGTCCAATCCATGACTAATAAGCAAACCAGCTTGAGTCCTCTCACAGAAATGCATAAACAGTTCATACAATTCTTGAATTTCTTAACTTGATCGGATCCATCAAAAGACATGTTTAACTTCATATTTATTATGGATCCCACCATGTATATTGTGGGAAGTTTCCTTGCATGAAATCCATGGAAGAGGGAATGGAATGATGATTCAATTTACAGAGAAGTAACAACTCCAACTCCAAATATCCAATCAGTTCGAGAAGTTGGTATCACTCAAATAATGTACACTATTGAGTGCCATATATATATATATACATATATGTGTGTGTGGTTTGACTATTTTGATTGGCAAAACTCTTTCCATATCATATCTTTCACGCATCATAGATTTTCCCATATTCCCACATATATATAGATGTTCATTTTTTATTCTATCATTTTCAGTTTTTTCACTCATCCATCTGAACATCCAAATGTCCAAGCAATATCCCATAACCATGACCTTGTTATTTCAGGGGCATGACACTCTATGCACAGGTATCTAGGTTTCACAGATGGGCACACAAGACTTCAACACTTAAGAGGTCCATTTGGTTCCCTAGAATAGGTGCCTGGAATCGGAATTGGAATGGCCCATTCCGATGGTGGGCCCTACCCATATCATTGAAAGAGCTTGGATTTGACTCAATGAGTTCTTGGATTCAACTCAAATCAATCCAAGTAAGCAACCTAGGAGGAAGCAAATTTGGGTTGCTTGGTTTCCCTCTAATCACCCTCTATCAATATAAATTTTGATGCTGGATCATAGCTATTCCAAGTAAGCAACCAAGGAGGCAAATTTGGGTTGCTTGGGCTCCCCCTAATCAGCCTTCTACCAAAATAATTTTGATACATCCAAAAAGGACAATGGAGATACTACGGTTGGTTGTATTGCCCAGAATGCCAAGGAAAGATTGTGCGTGCAATTGCTCGTGCAATTGGAAGAATGTCCATCAATGTATTAGAAGCATTAGCAACTAGAAAAGCCCATGTCATGGCAAGAGAGTGGAGAGATTGTGACATCTTTATAGGAGATTCCAAGTTGACAATTGAAGGCTCATGTAGAAAGTGCGAGATCCCCTAGAATATTAACACATTGATTGAAGACTGCCGCAAGATGGTAGAAGAAGATAATTTGAAGATAAGTTATAAGAGTTACCCCCATCTTGTCCTCTTTCCTCTACCCAAAAAAAAAAAAAAAGAAAAGAATCTAAGGTTCAAATAAATAGGAGTCTATGAATAGGGTATAGATATAATAAATGCACATGTTAATAATTTATATGATGAGATACATTACTGATGTAACTGTTTCTGGTCACGTACCATTTTTTGTGATGTATAAATTTTTTGGCTAAGTACCTCGTTGTTTGACCCGGTGGTGACGTGCCTTGGTGATGAGCTACTTGGTGGCGAACTGCCCGGTGGCGAGCTCCCTGGTGGAGAG